CGCGTCCCCCCACTCCGCCCCCCGCGGTCTGTTCAACACCAACTAGGATGTTCGGCGCCTGGACACCGCCGCTCGCTTTCTATGGAAGGGGTAAACCCCCGCGAGGACGCGGATTTCGAAGTGAGTTTTGAAAGACTAGAAAAAACTACGCAAGAGGGACGGAAATTACTGCTGTAGTCAAGGGTGTGTATCCAAACGGTGTTCCTCAACCCCCTCCCCGACTTCAGAAAGCTCGAGTCGCCGATCTACAAGAAAGCCTGCCTCCCACAGCAGTCTGTTGCCTACTTGCGCTTAGACATGCAGCAGTGCTGATTTGTTTTGTGGCGGAGCTCTGTTTTCACATTTACAGTCAGGCATCAGTTTGAAATTTTCCTTTGTTTTCCTTCCGCCTCAGTTCAAGTTGGGCCATCCTTCCTGCTACTTTATTCTAAGCATGAATAGTCTCAACTCATGGTGTACAGCAGGACTTGTTTACGTTGCACCATGGCTGCCGTCGACATGTTCCAGAAGAAACCCGGGTGTTGTAGCGGACGTGCCACCAGTTATAGACAGCGATCGGTGTTTCCAAAGACACAGCACACCTACTTGCTGCTGTTCATCCCCTCGGCGTATGATGTGTACATACCCGGCGGGAATGCTGGAGATGTTTCCGTCCGTTTCTTCGTTACTATAGTGGTATTTGAAGAGTACACAAATTCTCCCGGCGAGACCGTTCGAGATACAACCTTCTGCTGTAGTCGAAAGGGACGTGCTGCAGTCTCTCAGTTAGTGGAGGGAAACCGGCTGGAAACTGGGCTTATTTTTGTTTGAGCCTGACACTATTTGCACACTGAATTGTATCGATGATGCCAGCTGGTGCTAAGAACAAAAGCACCTGCATAGTTTTTTTTCTGCAAACTTAAAATACACCGACTCATGTCCAAAAAGAGCCGGAGTGCAGTACGGTTGCTTTTGGCAGGCACCGTTGCGCCTGTGCGCGAACACACGCGTTGCCCGGCGTGTCGGGAGCACTGGAGAGGCCCCCTGCCTCTCTCTCATCGCATGATACTATTGACAGGCGTATATGCACACATGCGATTGGTTTGGTACAGCAGTACTGCTGTCTTGCGGGAGTACCGAGAGGGCTTCTGATCTCAACCCCAAGGTCTTTGGGAGGCCCAATATCGAGATATCGAGCAACCAGATGCCGGCTCAGCAAGTGTTGATGCTCGGCGTTACTTCGGTAACACATAGAGGACATGGTGGAGCATGCGACGTGGGCGTGGGCACGCCCAGATGTGGTTGTTCTGCGGCCGCACGGTCGAAGGCTGCCAGTGTTGTCAGGAAAATCCGCATATGCGAGTCCATATATACCATTCACGATCAACTGCTGTGCACCCGCAGTCCAGGAGACGGGGTCTGTGACGGCGCGCATAGCAGTAGATCGTGAATGGTATGGACCCAGACTTCTTGGACCGCAGCTGCAGCCTTTCTACAGCACGACCCCTGCACCATATCCGGGCGTGCTAACGCGCATGTCGCTGCTCCATCATGTCCCCTTCCAATTTTGGATGGAACATCCAACACTTTGGAACGCAATTACCCCGACTCAGGCACCCACCGTGTCGCCTGTTCTGGCGCACAAACGGCCGGCAAGACTGCAGCAATAGAGCAACATCCTCGAGATATTCCAAGTACGTCAGTTTAGAGCCCGGAATTGCTCTACTCAATTGGACACCGCGTAGCTGACGTGAGTTCGTGCTTCTTGACAACTTGCGAAACACACTCATGTGCCGGGGGCTCATCGTGCGTCTCTGAGGCACAGGGTGCGTGGTGGCGGGGGATCCACCCAACGGAGACCACCAAGCCAACTCCACCGAGCGGGTGTTTTGAGTTCGAGCGGTGTACGAGACCGACAGTCAAGCCCCGAGAGCGACGTTCCTGGTTGTTATCGTGCTCGTAATTTCTCTCTCTCTCTCTCTCTCTTTCAACACACCTGCGTTCCCCCACTGGAGCAGATGACGGTCGACTGGGATGAAGAGCTGCGCAAGCTTAACGCGAGCCAGTACGGGAAGCGGCAGGAGCGCGACTTGACGAAGGACATGAACGATCCGGAGGCCGTCAAGTGGGCCAGGAAAAATGCGAAAGTTGCTCAGTCCGCCATGGAGAACAGCACCAAACAGGTGATTGATGATCGAGAGAAAGGCGACAACACCCACAGACGTGCCAAGCGTGGAGATGGAGCGAGATCCCGGGAATTGACAGTCCCGGGAGTTGACCTTTCCCCGCCGTTTCGATGCGACGTCTTATTGTGGATGGTTTTCCCCCTTCGGGCAGGGCGTTTTCGGGGAAACTTCCCCAAGTTTTTTACCATTAGTCGTTGAAGTTCTACACGTTTTCGTCACGGAGACCCCAGGAACACGCAGAACGACTGCTCCTATAGATGCCGTCGTACGTCGCCTCCCGTGGCTTAGCCCTCTCGCTTGTGCTGGTGTGTGCCACTTCCCCCCCCGGTGTCTGTTTTCTGTGTGTTGGGATTTCCTTGCCCGCCCCGGCGCTCTCCAGGAAACCAACAATATTTTGGCCCGCATCTGGTAGGTTTCGGTGCCACCGGTGATGTGTTTACACCCCTTGGTCGACGAGACCATCGCTGTAATTCGGTGCCGGAGGCCCGTTGATCGCCACCTTAGTTTGTACCAGAGGACGCCACCAGTGCGCCTTTTTTTTTGCCAGGACGCACTTTTTCTGTGCCACTACTGCGTTCACGTGTTGCTCCTTCTCGTGTGCAGCAGCCCGGCGCTCTGCAGTACCTCCTCGACCCATCTCTTTTCCCTCGTTCTCGTTCTCCCCTGTAGTGATGACGTATTTTGGTGATGAGGCGACACGCCCATTTCTGAGTTGAAACGCCATTTTTTGCCCCCACGCGACGACTTTAGTCCTCGTCCCCTTATACTCACCCAGGTTCGGAGCGCCATGCGCAAGGCTCCCCGCTGGCAGACGCTGTCCCGCGACTACCGATTCTGGTTGGGGCTCGTGGTGGCCCTAAGCCTGGTATCCTCCGTGATCAGCGCCTCCGGGAGATCCCACGACCTGGTGGTGTGCAACGACGTTCTGGGGAGCGAGGCGTTCGGCGAGGCGTTCTTCGCGCACGCCGCGTTGCTGGCCGCGACCACGGCACACTCCGCTGGCGACGCGGCGACTCAGCTGGCGGACACCGGGGCGGCGATGGTGTTCGTGTGAGGCACAGCATGCGAGCGCACGCGCACGCGCAGAAGGGACCACTACTGCTTCTACTGCTGTGAGAGCTTCGAATCCCCGGCAGAACGAGGTGGAGCGAACAGATTGGAGGGGGTGGGAGTGGTGTATGAAATGTCCACCGCGGTGCCCCCATGACGGTAGGGGGGAACGCAAACGGGAAAATTCCGGGGAGGCGACGCAGATCGATAAAGATGGACGTGTGCCCAGAGCGAGATGCGTGGGCGCGGCAATCGCCCGCCGTGAAGGGTCCAGAAAGTCCATACCGGTGTTCTGATCAACCATGTAAATAGGGAATGGGGGTAGGGTAGGCGGGGTACACCGTTTGTATGTGAGCGGGAGCACTGACACGACCGCAGTCTTACCTGGCGATTGGAACTTCCAAGGGCGGTGTTTTCTGGTCCTGAGCGTTGTGCCGATATATCGCGAGAGCGGTGTTCAGAGCAGCCCGTGTGGGCGAGGGGTGGGTGTGCGGGTGCGGCTTTCGGTTGCAACGAGATTCGTTGAGAAGATCCGAGCATTGTATGTGGTGTGTGGTTGGTCGGTGAACTTGGAGAGTGGAGGTCGCACCTTCCCGCGGAAGAGATGGGCAACGACACCACAGCAGCAGCAGCAGCAGAGGTAGAAAGTGCGTTTGTGCAGGTACCCAGCAGCCCTCCCATGTTGTGGCTCGGCGTGGTCGTGTGAAATAATGAAGCAGATGTGCTCATGTATGTGGGTTCACGCGAAGAGCGTGGTGAATCATCTGTACCTACGGGGAAGGTGGCTGCAGCCCTGCTTGAGTGGTAGGCGCGCGCCCGGGGGGGGGAGGGGGGGGGCACTTTTGGCTCTAGGGTAGGGGAGCCGACCATCTTCGCGCAGGGCGGTAAACCTTTCTGTGCAACCTTTCTGTGCTGAAGGGGCCGTGCTAGGGTTGGTGGTCGTTGGCAGTCTCTCGAAATCGTTACCCCGGAGTGGGGGGGGAGTGCACCAAATGTATGAAGTCGTCATGTCTGTATTGTAGTTCCACCTCCGTTCGGTGTCACGTATGATTCGGTCTCTTGTGCAGCGGTGAGGGGATCACCGACACACGGGGAGTTGGGTGTGCGTGTACCCGCCGTGTGCCTTCTATTTGCAAACGACGACACAGTTTTGCCCATGTTTCGTAGTTGGCGTGTCAAGAAAGACCGGGAAATCTTCTCTGCCCGCTGCGTTGTCTTGTTGGATGCATCGAAAGGAGGGAGTGAAGCTCGTCTTTCGGATCGTCTTTTTTTCCATGTCTACGCCGGGTGAGCTCTGGATCAAATTTTGAGTGATTCTACTCTGCCTATGTTAGGGTCTCGCCTACGGTGGCGTCTCGACAAACCAATTTTGAGGTCAAGGTTGTCCCCCGAACCACAGTAGCGATCGGCTGACGCTTCGCTTCGTGCTGGCGTGTGGCGCAAGAATGATTGACTGGTGCAACCCTTATTCCTCAGAGTAGCACTTGGTGCAGGGTGAGGAGGGTAGAGTCACGAGCTACGGGTGTGTGCGCGTGATTGGCCAAGACCAGGCTCCTTCCTCTTGTCGCGGGCGTGCCGAACGACGATTTCGTTGAATTTGACAATATTTGCATGTCGCGCTACCAGTCGCGAACTAATAAGCACTAAAGGAGGACGTGAGGCGGCAGGATATGAGATATCCAGGGACGTGTGTGGAGTCTGCTGACTGGTCCCCAAAGGGTTGAGTGCACACAACACTGTTCGGAACTACCTGAGACTGCGGTGCCGTGTGCACGTAAGCGTACAAAACGCGCACCTCGTTTCTGCTGGGCATGCATGACTCACATGCATGGCGGTTGTCAAAACACAAACGGTCAGCGTTTGCACGAGCCGGAGGATGTTCGCAACGCAAAATTTATCCGATGTATGAGCTGACCCTTTCAAAATATATCCCATTTAGGAGCTGACCTCCTCTTCTGTCAGCTGCCAAGCCCTAAAATATCAAGGCAAGAAGTACCACCCAGAGATGCTACTTGTAAAGCCGGCTTACAACCCACGCCTCGAAAATGCAGCACGATCCAAGTTATCTTCTTTGTGTCGGCGCAATAAAAACCCAACAGAAAGGCCAGAGAAAATTCACCGCCCTCGTTCAGCAGCCGGCGCCTGGCTTGTTCACGACCGCTGTCCCTACTTCTTTTTTCCACCCCCCCATGGGCTAACGAACTCGACCTCGCCCGTGCGGGAGTTGATCTGCCTCTTCTTGATCTGCCTGAGCTGTTTCTTGCTCATCGTCTTCATCTTGTGCGTCTTCGATATCTGTCGACAAAGAATAAGGGCAGACACACATTCACGTGCAACAGGTGAGCAGTAGTAGCAGTGATGAGCAAAGAAGTAGCTCCAAGCGGAAAACTACTACATATTACAGCCTTAGCAGGGTGTAACCTTCGCCACGCGTCACGACGCGACCGGGAGACCAGCTGTTCATAAAACGTTTCAGTAAACCTTGAAGCAACCTCGCGAAAGTGGGGCGTGGCACCACCTCCGCCGCTTCTTGCTGCTGTTCTCGTGGATACGGTCAGCGCGACGGGCGATCAATACTCTACATCCGCGTTTCGCCACTGGCCGTCGCGCTCTGTTTATCAGTACGTGGTGCTGCATGTGCACGTTTTGCAAATCATAGCCGATTCTCACCGTCTGGTACGTGGTGTTCTTCATCTCGTTCTGCTGTCTCCGCTTTTCCCTTTCCAGCTTCTCTTGCTTTTTGTCCTGCCCGCACCGAAATTTGGGAGTGGCGGGAAGCACGCGCACAACAGACACCCCCACCGAACAGACGTGTGCGCAGGATGGAAAAAGCTGTCAGCTTTCAGTATTCGCGTTCGCGTCGCCGCTTACGACAAAGACTTCAAGAAGTTGATTCAAACACATACGTCTTCTTGGTGCTTTCTAACGTACCAAGCGCCACGGAGACGACGCCCATGAAAATAACCTCGAATCTATTGCAGCGCGGCGAAAGAACCATGTGCAACCTCCCTCTTATCGTACGCATCAGTCCCTGAACGCCAAAGTCATGCAGACGGCGAGTGACTACATAGAGATGCAGCATAGCAACGTCACAAAAGTGGTGTGATGCTGCTCTGAAGTAAGGCGCACGAACTGCTGCTGACACTGAAATCGGTGTCTATACCTCGATCTCCTGGAGCTTTGCGTCCCTCATCTCCTTCTCCATGGCCATGATCGCCTGCCGCTTGGCCTTGATCTCGAGCTTCTTCGCCCAGGAGCTGGACAGCGTTTTGGTTGCTGTCGTCCGTTGCATGGACGCCCTACAGCAGTAGTGAGTGGGATACAGCATACCGGGGAGGCAGAGGCACGTTGAGCAGTTGCGCCGCAAATTCAACTGAATCTGCAGTTTTCTCCCCAAAAGCAAGGCTTCCCTTACGTGGTTGGTGGTTGGTTGTCGAACAACACATTGTATCGATGCGCCAACCAAGTCATTGGTCAGATCGCTGCGCTGATCTGTGGTGCTGTCAAGCATGCGGAGGTGTGATGTCGTTGCTAGCACACAGAAAGCGTTAATGAAATGCCCTCATGGTCTGCCGTGTAAATGTGTCAATAGTGGGGCCCTATTGCCAATAAGAGCAACGAAACTTACCTTTGCGATTGATTCCTGACTTTCCAGTCCCTTCCGCTCACGCATCTCCCCTTCGGCGCTACCCCCATCCGGTCAACAGCCGTGATTGGCCCATCGTATGCTCTCTTCCCATCCTTGTCCTTGCCCAGCGACTGGCCCTCCTTACCCCCAACAGCCGCGACGTTGTGCTCTCCTGCCTTCAACGCGGATTTCTTTGTTTTGCTTCCACTTTCCCCCTCCTTTTCCCCTGCCTTCCCGGGCGTGGTAGCCTCAAGCGCGGTCGGTGCGGGTGGCTCAAGGCTGGTGGCCACTTCCTTGGACTTTTTCGTTGCTGCAGGAGTACTAGGACCACTGCCGCTATTGGCGGCCTTCCTCTTCTTGCTAGATCGTGGCGGCTGGAGGGGGAGCGAGACCAATGCTTCCGCTTCCGCGGGTTCTCCTCCACCCGTCCCTTCACGTGATCGTGTTCTCATCGTTGCTCGCGGGCTTGTGAGTGTTTGTGGGGATGTTGTGAGCGTTTAGATCTTATGGCCTGCGCCTAAATAGCAGCCGCGACGGGGTAGCGTCCCTGGTGCTCAAAGGCCTATTCCGCCGCATGTCGCGATCTGACGACGCCACACTTGATGATTTCAGGGACACCCACAGATCATGTGTTTTGTCAGAAATGCCTATCCATGGCTTCCGTGAAACGACCATTTCAGCGGTCGGTTACGCTCATGTCTCATCAAGTGCTTTCGACTTCGCGGCGTACTTCTCTGCCGGTTTTTCGCGCTTGTTCGGAGCGTACATCACTTACATACAGGAGTACATACGCATAGCATTCGGCGAACCGGCCCACATTTATTCCAGCACGGAGGTACAGCCGTAGTGAAGGCTTCAACTTTTACCACGTGTCTCAAAAATTGGAGCAGAGCACTGGTGAATTCCAAGTTACCATGTAGGATTGAGCGTAGCGCCGGTGGCTGAGCTCAATATCGTACACCGTGTATTCATCTACTTGCTGTAGAAAAACTACACTACAGATGGCGCTCGCACTTGAGAACTTAGCAGTTAAGAAATGCAGCCTCGAAAAAATAAAATAGTAAGAAGTTGGCCATACGAACACGAGCTCAGTTCCGAGGTGGTCTTAAGAACAAGAACCCGTATTTGTGGTTTAACAAGCGCCTTCGGATAAGACCAGACCCCCAAAAAGTGGCAGCTGCAAGAAACGAACTCGTGAAGGTGGTAAGGGGTGACTCACGGGGTGTCCGGTGACCCCACCCACCGGCAGTTTCAGATCAGCGACGAACGAGGAGGGGGATCTCCGTTTCAAATAACAACGCTGGTGCGGAGGGGGGCAGGGCGGGGCGTACTCTTATGTTTTGCATATCTTAGTGGTTAGACCATTGACCACGCGTCCTCGAGAGGACGAAGTATTGTTCCCGCAGGACCGAAGACCGATTTGCCAATCGTCCCCTCCTACTTTACCAAAAAACAAGGTGTCTCAAAAATGTTGTCCCTAGCCTATCTATCCTATCGATATTACGTCCCGCCTCTTCAACCCACGTTCTATGCCCCAGTACAGCTACTTAGCTGGTATTCTATGCCTCAAACATCTCCCTGTATCTTCCTTATACTTTTCCCAAGGTTCAGTCACGTAAAATCTCCTCTCCTTGTACAACAGACATATTCTATCGATATTACGTCCCGCCTCTTCAACCCACGTTCGATGCCCCAGGACAGCTACCTATTAATAGCTGGTATTGCCTCAAACATTTCCCTGTATCTTCCTGATACTTTTCCCAGGGCTCAGTCACGTAAAATCTCCTCTCCTTGTATAACAGACATTCCGCAACTACATGAACCCGGTGTTTGCACTCGGAGCCACGTTCGCATTTTACCTTGGTCGATGCGGAATGGGGGAGGGGGGGGGGGG